TAGAGGGCTGCAGCTGTGTGTGTTGGTATGTGGATAGATAGCTACTTCGTCCGTTTTTTTTTTGCTTTCTCATGGTGCACTGCCTCTTTTCTTCTCCATCTCTGCGTTTCCAGGGCCGTAATGGTCTGGGTAACATTTACGTATGGGCCTCGGGAAACGGTGGCTCTTCGGGCGATTCGTGTGCCGCAGACGGCTACGCAAGCAGTCCATTCACACTGTCCGTAAGCGGTGTGGGCGAGCACAATCGACGCCCATGGTATCTGGAACAGTGCGCTTCCACCCTCGCGACAACCTACAGCAGCGGTGCGCGCAGTTCATACCCATCCATCTGTGCAGTTCTCTTTTTTCCCGCAAGTTCCGTACCGAGATTTCTTCGCTTCGCCCGCCCTAACGCCCAACGGGCTGTGATTACACCTATATGTGTATGCTTACACCGGTCGAAAGGTGTTCACATGTTTGTGTGTGTGTGCGGCCTATGTGCCGGTCTGTTAACGCACACACACACACACACAACCTGGATAGTGGACATTGGTTCACCCTTCACCCGATCCACGATTGGGCGAGAAATATACATCGCGCGGTAAATACCATTCTCTTCAAATGTATGTCTAGATCAACGATGGAAGTAGTAACCGAATTAGGTCGATTAATGAATCAGTTTCGTTCTGTACCCAGACTGGGCACCCGCACGCATGCACGTGGGCACACGAAAGGCATTGTACAGCTGTTTCAGTTAACAACAACAGAAAAAAATCAATTTCATTAGCTCTTCAAATCACATATTTTTGCAAAGCAGTTTTGGGTGTTGTACCGTGCCCGGGTGCCAGGGTAATCAGATGTGGACAAAGAAATCGAGATAATCAGCTACCCAGTGGTGGTCATATGTTCAGCTGTGATGATATTCTAGTTGAATAAAACGGGTTGACACTGACTGCTAAATGCATACGAATAACGATCATCAATCTGGCTGAAGTAACACCTGGGCACGCGGTTCCAACTCGTATCTTTCGCTCGCTCACACACACACAAGAATGTATTTCGTAAAACATTCAAATAGACCGTATCGTACGCATTTCTGTTACACTCATAAACTGGACCAGATTAGTCGACACAGGAGAGGCAGTTCACCTAGTCTACTAGACTTCTTGAAAGTTTTTGACACGGGTTACCACCAAATATTGCTCCGAGGACTGCTCCTTGACTGGATTGAGGAATTCCTTTGACAACGTACCGTGTCGGTTCGAGTTAATGGTTCCCCATCGAAACCGATTGAAGCTCTCAGCGGTGTTCCACATGGATCCGTACTCGGTCCGTACCTTTTTTTAACATTTATAAACGACCTACCAGATATTCTTGGAGGAGAGGCATTATTATTCGCGAACGACGCCAAAACATTTCAGGACGGTACAATATCCTTGCAGGGAACTCTGGGCCAGCTTACCAATGGTCTATCACTGATTACATGGCGTTCATCGTTCACAAAAATGCAAGGTTGTATCGCTGCGCCACAGGGATCGCTTTTCATACTTATCTGGGAACTCAGCCATTACCGCGTTCCCTAACCGAAAAGGATCTGGGAGTTAACGTTTATGAGGCACTGGGATGTACCACACATTGCGCAAAAGATCATAAAACACGCTGGATTGACAAAGACGTGTTTTTGGATCCTTCGAAACAGACCTGTTGCTCGGTTTGATATCAGCATATGTACATTAGACCGTTTGTTCTGATGCAAAATACGACAAAGCGCGCAAATCCCTTAAACGCCAGCTCATCCAGAGTTTCTGAGTAATGACCGCGAGATTCACATTCAGGAACGCCGTGTCGGACGTTGTGCATAGCATTACAAAGCACAGTTCAGCTAGTCCCCCGGTCGACACAAGGCAAATAATCCCAGTTGATATCAGTCCTCCGTTTGAAATGGAGATTACCCGGATGAGTAATGTATTTCAAAAAAGTTATGAGGCTTTCGGGCCCCGACGGACTGTCCCCATCGGTTTTTAAGGATGGCAATCCAGTCTTGGTTTTGGATTCAGTGTGGGAGGGGGAGCAGGTTCCAACTGAATGATCTGACACGGTGATCATACCGCTTTACAATAAAGGTGACAAATCCTGCTGTGAAAACCACAGAGGAATTAATTTGATCCTCATTGTCTCTGAACTGCTCGTTGTTATTCTACTCCGTCGATTGTCTGCCGCTCTTGGATAGTACACGCGTGTGAACCAGGCTGGTTTCAGACCTGGTCGAGGTTGTATAGACCGCACATCCTCATCCTTCAAGAAATTTTAGTACACGGACATTTCTTTTGTAGACCCACCATTTCCATCTTCCTCAATCTGAAAGCGGTTTTTGACTCACTCGACGACGCTCTCTCTCTAGAAAATTTTCCCGATCTCCCACATGTCACTCGGCGTAACAGGACTATCGTGTGTGATTCTCTGACCCCTGTTCCCCGAATTTGTTTTTCATCGATTCGGTCCTAGTGGTTGTGTGTGTGCTTCATCTGTTTTGGTGGTAGACAGCTTTGCTATCGCCCGGTTCTATACCACGCCTGACTTATCAGGGCCTTATATAGTTCGCCACTCCAAGTCCCAGGGCTTAAGTTACTGTTTACCGTAACTGAACAGCAGGTCCTCGTGGCTATGGGGTCCGTTCCTACTGCTGTTAATCACACACTAGTGTGTAATTTAAAAAATTCTGTTCTACTCTACAACACAATTTTCAGTCCATATACGACCGATTGCCCTTGCACTTTCGCACAGAATTTTGTGTGGCTATTTTTAACAACCCCGTTTTTGTGAGGGGAAGCTGGGGACAGATTGGACTACTGGAAGGAATCAGTGCCAGTACGAATGCAACTAATTTTTTCTAGGGTCATTGAGTAAATAGATAATACGAGCGTCATTATATTCCATACTCAACCGTACCATTTATTGTTATCGATTACGCTGATCCAGAGGTTCTAAACGATGAACTCCCACACGATCTTCTTCCATCGACTATTATATAACTAGGGCATCATAGCACATCATGATGGTTTGGTTGGTCAGTTCGGTCGCTCGTTAGTCACACTTGAAATGTTTGCTCCCTCCAAAGTAGTCGGTGTGAAGTCTAACATCTGTTCCAATCAGCGACCACAGTATGCAGTATAAACACGTCAAAGTCAAAAAGGTGGTGTGTGTGGTGAGGGTGCAGGTTAATGCAAATAGTATTGGACGTCCCAACAGTCGTTTCACTTTCATTAGACAAAATAGTCTCGTTTCGACTTCGTTTGTTCCTGACCTAGGACATGAAGCTTGTAAAGCTTATTTTGACTGGACTGATTGATTATTGAAGTCGTCGAACGATCTGAGATGAGCTGAAAGGCACAGGGTAAACAACTCCCCCACTCGATCAAAAACGATGAAACTCAAAATGGTTTGTTTTTTCGTTCCATTTCCTTTGCGGTTTTTTTCTTCTTCTATCGAACTCACAATCTTGTCAATCTTTGATCGCTATTTGGTTCGCAAATCGTTCGCCGAGCGCATGAGTTCTCGAAAATTGTCTATTCTATTTTGTTCCATCCGGGAACGGAAGAGAAGATATTGCCCATCAAAACACTCGGATTTTGTTTCAAATTGGGTTGATTTCGTCCCGAGCTGGTTCTGTTGATCTTGGACGAACTTTGTGAAGAAAATGATCACTATCATTGCGGTTGTTTCACAATCTGTTTACTGTTATTTTCGGAGGTGGACGTGGACTTCAGTGAGATCAGTTTCTATATACTTGATATATTGTTCAAAACCGACCTAGTAGAATTCTGCACTGGACTAGAGAAAAATGATGACAGATAGAAGATAAACGGGATAGGGAAGATTGTTTCATAACTCTCATTGGTCCATGAATGTCGGCAGTGCGCGCAAAATCCTCCCTAATCGCGGTAGAAATTGGATACGAAGACGATTGTACAATGATGAACAATTGGGTGTCGATTGGATGTTAAACTGATCGACAACAAGGCGATTGGCTAAGCGTGATCCAAAAGTGCAATCGAAGAGAAATCCCTGGCCACAGACCGTGGTTTTTCCATGTTCCATGAACCTCGTATAGTGTCAGAGGAGATGAAAGCGGTTTCGCGCGGATAAGGTATGAAATTTCCCTGGAGGCATGCGATGCCATGACATATGGAAGGGAAAAACTAAGCGCCAAATGGAACTGCAGAAAATGTGACAGAACAAATTATGATCGGAATGCAGTTACAGAGCTCAAAACTCACGTTTTCGTTAGACATACATATCCGCGGTTTTTTTTGCAGCATTGAAACCGACTCGATTTTCCGTATTCCGGACACAGATGGAGACGGTGGTGGTAGCCTAGGAATGTATTCGCTGCCACCGGTTGGACCCAGTGATCCGAAGTGGTTCGAACCCTGTCACTGCCATCCAATTTTGGTGGTAGTGGGCCGCTTTGCTATCGGTCGGTCCAATACCACACCTAACCTAGAAGCGGGGTCTTATGTGGCTCGCCACGCCATGTTCCGGGCACTAGGCTGACGGTTTTCATCAGTTCAGTGCAGTTTGTACAACCATTAACCATGCACTTTCGTGCGCCGGTTTTGGTTGCCCGTTTGGATAAAAGAGCAAAACGTAGATTGGAATAGAGTAACTTTCGGGAAGTGTTGTCAGAAAAAAATGCCCGAAGTGCGGTGGCCTGATTTGTAAATACGTTAGTACGAGGATGAGTTTGCGATTCTGAACGGGCATTGCTCTGTAAATGGCTCCGTCAACACGCACCGCGTTTGAACAGTCATATAGGAGGCTTCCTATCCGAGAGCTGGAACACTTGCAGTGCTAAATTGGCAAGTTCTCACCCGAAATCCCTCACTCCTAACTCCTTCAACAACTGCCTTCAACATATCTCGGGCTACTTGGAGTGGTTCGCCGCGATGTTCAGTGGTGGAGGATAAAATATGTAAATTGAATATCAACCGGTAGCTAGTCGGTCTGTGTGGGATCGCAAGTCATATTGATTGTCGTTGATAGGGTCACGGTGCGTTATAAATAGCAATTCCACAACCTTTGGAAGGGACATACCGTGTAGGTTGTTGCTCTCTCCTAGTTTAGGTATGAGACAGACGTGATTAGCTTGCTGACAGACCGGTGGCAAATACGCCTTGTGGTAAGAGATAGACGGAGAAGAAAATAGACGTAAGTCTTGAACGAAGTTGGTGGAATGCTATCAGGATCGGGTGACCTGAGTTTATATTAGCAAACACAGAGTCAGGCGAAGATAGTTGATTATAATTTTAGTAATGTTATGTGTACGGAATGGGGTAAGTGTGGTGAGTAATGGTCGGATAGAATTTGAGATAGAAAGAGGGTGCAGTAATTACTTCAGTCGTTTGGGAACGATCTGGTGCCAGCTAGGGAGAAACGCTCTCAAACGGCGGAAAGGAGTGAATTACAGTGCCAGCATATGAAGCGGAACAGATGAAGTTTGAAAATTCAAACTGATAAGACTTATTCGGAGATAAATTCGAGAAGACAGATTTATTGGAATTCCTTACCAAATCGATGATATGGTTGTGTTTCTCTGTCGGTCGGGGACACGGATAGTCAAGTTAGCCGATTGTCGTAGGCTGTTCTCGGTTCCACTTTGTGGTCTGTGGTCTCTGGTTAAGGTTCTATCGGAATGTACGAAACAATCACTGTAATGCGCCTTGAATGCAAAAGTATTCTCCATGCACAGTGAACGAAGAGTCAGCACAGGAAATTTAGAATTTTTGCAAGAACGATAAATAATGCAAAAGTAGGGATTCCAAGATGGGATATGAAAATTCATCTTCCCGAACCGGCGTTCGCGATTTTGAACTTTCAGATCAGACTGTTGCAGCTCGGTGAATAAACGCACATACACACCATCTTTGAATCGCGAGGATAAATGAGGTTTATGGTAAGAGAGTAGGACGTGGGGAGCATCTCTTGAGTGTGATGATCGAGCCTGGAAAACGAAGGGACGGAGGGGACTGCGAGGGGGGGTCTAGGACAGATTCAAGACAGTGGTACACCACAACAACAATGTTACACGGAACACCGCGAGTATTGACAAAAACAATCGGAGAACCATTGGAGACACTGTGTGTGAGATTGCGCAGTATCAAGTCACATCGTGAATGCAATTCAGAAATTCTAACTGATAAAACATGAATCACTCAGAATGCCATCAGATGATCGCCTCTTCCCCATCATCATTCTGCTCAATTCCAGTCAAACACCTGTTCTAAGCTTACCGAGCAAATAGAATAGTAGTATTCTTGCTTATACAAGCAAGCATTACACAAGAAACATGTAAGTGTATGTGCGTGTTCAATAGGTGTCCGGACGGGATCTGTTGCTCAGCGCTCTCCTTGTCCTCTCCTAGTGCACAGACTGGGCTAGTTTGATCCACAATTACTAGTTTCGTCCATGTCATCTCACTCTGGTCTCTATCTTTTACCTCGTGTGAGTTGAGTCTACTTTTTCACATCTTTTCCACACATGTCATGAATGATGAGTACTTTGAGACAGAACTTTTTTTGAATACGACTGGTAATTGTGTAGTTGCCTCTTTCTGTTATCCATTCTTTCACATTGCTATTTTCTGATTCCAATGCCGAATCATTCAATACGGTACGCCCTGTCATAGTTTCTCTAAGCAGATTACCCCGGAAATCGATGGACGCCGAATGAACAACACACACACACACACACGGGGCTTTAACTGTTTGTGTTCCAGTGTTGACGAGATATTTATATATACACACACACACACGAACCGGATGATAAAAACATTTGCCAGACAAATATTCATTAAAACTCGCAG